AGTTTTCAAAATTGTTTTCTAATTGTGGTTTTAGTGTGGTGGTGCTAAGTGTTTGCAGTTTCAATATAAGATACATTTTTAGTTTCGTTTATTCCTAAGAAAAATATATCTTTATTTTCAGTTATTCTCAGAAATAGAGGAAAAATATTTTAAACAAAGAATTTTATATTTCTATGCATCCAAGACTGTTTATACAGGTTAAACATATTCTGAACAAAAATGTCTGTACCTAAAAGACTTGTAAGCATTCCTGTCTTAGAATGATTACAGAGTTCTGCAGATTTGGGGATTATGGTAGCTAAATTTTTCATTTTGTGTTTGGAGAAGAATGTAGTAATAACAATAGGTTAGAATATAAGAAATGTAGAAGGGCTGCCCAGAGCTTGCCCAGAAGAAGAGCATGAGAATCTACTTCTGAGCACCTTACACCTAAAATACCCTGGAAAAGATCACCATAAGTCAATATTGACTTATGATTACTGGATTTCAAGCAGACAATGAGTCCTAGTGTTTCCTGAAAATTTGTACAATGTAGCTTCTCCTATGATTCCTAAGTACTCACCAGTATGTTTCTCCACCTGCAATCTACTATCATGAAAGGTAGAAGGTCTCTAAACTGAACCAGTAAAAAGTGATAGGAGTGGAAACACGTCAGACCTTTGTGTGCCTATAAAAGAGGCTGCAGAGTCTTTTCCTCAGCAATAGCAGCAGGATAGATTTTAGGTCATGGCAGGCTTCTACAGATGATCAATCAATGAACATTTAGCATCATTTTCCTCATGGCAAAACATTCCCAAACATAATTAATATTAGCATAACCATAATGTTATTCAGACCTGCATGTGATAGATGCATATTGTGTTGAGACAGACAACTTTCACTGTCCATTAAAAATTAATAGTTATCTACATGTGCTTATATAATCCTGTGCCATCAAGTCAATACTGACTTATACTGACCCTTTGCAAAGTTTCCAAGTAGAGAATATTCAGAAGTGGTTGACCATTCCCTTTTTCTGGGGACACCCTGGGACTGTACAGCTTGCCCAAGGCCACACAGGCTGGTTCTACTTGTAGGAGGCACAGGAGGGAATTGCACTCACAACCTCTGATTCAATAGCCAGATACCTAAACCACTGACTTAAGGAACTTGCAGTTGTCCGAATGTTGTTGGACTGCAACAGGTGACTAGGATTTATGTAAGTTAGAATCCAACTTTACTTGGAGGGCCCCACATTTCTGTTCCCTGCCTTAGAAGACACTTAAGAGAGTGGGTCTGTTGTCTTATCAACAAAATGTCATAGATTTGATCCTGGGAAACAACAATATCTCAGCAATAGAAATGCTTTCTTGAGCAAGTGTTAATGGGAATGAATGAATGAATGAATGAATGAATGAATGAATGAATGAATGAATGAATGAATGAATGAATGAATGAATGAATGAACTTGGACTTTTATTACTTTCCCCACGGCAAAAGTATTTGATGAAAAGCTCATGTCCAAAGATCGTAAACTGCAAAATTGGAAAAGATGTTGACAAACTGCTTGAGGAAGTGTGATAGAGTGGCTAGACCATGGAGACTGCCATGCTTACATCTCCATTTACCAAGGTAGCTAAATAGATAACCTTGGGCCACTTGTAGTATTTCACCCTAATCAGTGTCACAGGGCTGCTGTAAGGACAATATTTGATTTTGTCCATAGAACAAGGCCCAGTCATCATGATACTGTTTTGTCATCTCTTTTTGAAAGAAGTACTTGATCAACATTAGAGCCCTTGCTTTGAATATCAAAAGTCCAGTCCTTGGTATCTCAAATGTTAAGGCAAAGGAAAATCCTCTGCTCCAGTGAGTTGCTACCACCCAAAGTAAACAATGCAAGGCTAGACAGATGAATGGTCTAACTCAAGTGGATGACAGCTTCACATATTTATAACAGAGTACAGAACTAAACACCTAGGTTTGTTAACGCTGCTATTCTACCAAAACCATTTCCAGCTTTAGTGACCCATAGTCTGCCAGGATCCTGGTACTGCCTAAGGCTGTCCAACCAGCTCTTCTATTAAAGAACCTAACCTCTCTTTTGTCCTGGACTTTTCCTTTTCCAATTTTCTTTTGAGGTACTATTTGCTGCACATTTCTACAGTGAACCCTCTACTTACGGAATTAATCCGTATCGGAACGGTGGCTGCAGGTCGAAAAGTCTGTAGCTTGAGGCTCCATTGACCTACAATGCATTGAATACAGAGTAATCCGTAACCGGCCATTTTTGTTCCATTTTTTTCCAGTCTGTAGGTTGATTCTCTGGCTGCAAGTCGAACCTAAATTTTGCGGCCAGAGAAGTCTGTAACTTGAAAAGCCTGTAAGTGGAGCCGTCTGTAAGTTGAGGGTCCACTGTACTGTTCTTCTGCGCTGCCTCTTATCAAACAATAACCGGGCTGTCCCTATGGCACAGAAACTAACTTTTGCATTTGTGACTGGTGATCTACAGCCTTTTTTTCAAAGCACAGTTGGTGGCTAGTTCTCTGAAGTATTCACAAGGAACCAACACTGGCTTTCTGGAAAGTTTGACTTGGCAGAAGGATGCAGAAAGCTGGGTGGATTTTTGCCAGTGCTATGAATTGATCCTGTCTGTCATCACATCAAAGCATCTGACAAGTGCAGTCCTATTAATCCTGACAAGCACTGTATGAGGCAGGCCTGATCACAGGCCTGTCTAGCCACAGAGCTGGGATTTTAGTCCAAGACCACTGCTGCTCAGTAGAAGCCCTTCGTGGTTGCTCACTCCTGCTTCCCTAGAGACAGCCCTGACAGAAGAATCTGAGGTGTGATAAGGTGACATTGGGCTGGTGATGAGCTCACTGGATCAAACATCCTTGGCAGCATGATCTCGCCCTCAAGGGGTCACCAACTGGCAGTGGCTTCTTCTTACACTCTGGCAGTCTTATTGATCAGACAAGCTCTTTAAAGCATAAATGGGCTAAAAACGAGGAGCTTTTTTGTTTCCCCAGTCTTTTCAAATTTAGCTGCTGTAAGTATGTCCTTGCCTGTTAACTCTGAACTTCCCCTCTGCACTAAGTGAATGAAACAGCTCCAGCTCATTCTCAACTCATGGGCATCACATAACTTTGAAAGGCATTGTGGGCAGAATGAATGAACAATTATGCTTTTTAATGATTTTTGCTCCTGGACACCTTGGCTGTGGTCTCCAGTCCTCTTCCTGCAGCTGCACGTCCCGGTCACTCTGCCAGCTGCCCTTTTCCTTCTTGCTGCTACAAAATAAGTCTTCAGCATGCCAAAATCTCAAGTAGCGGACCATGCCAACTGAACACAGTTATGTGTGCAAGTCATTCCATTGGCAACATTTGGTTGATTAGGCAGGAGGCAGGTGACCAGAGTTTGCACAGAAGAAATAGCCCTAGGTTTGTCAAATAGAAAATTAGTTAAACTTTAAAATTCTTTATTTTCTATTCAGCTCTTATTAAATAATAGCACCAAAGTAAATAACACTAAATAAACTAACTAGAGCATTTCCCACTCCTTGCAATTGGATGTGTGTCTCTAAAAGTATGATAAAACACAAAAATGACACATGGCCTCCAGAAGAAACTCTAGTAGTGGTGGCAGTGCTCTGCAAACTACTGCACAAGAGCTCATGGAGATTTGATGCAAATTTGCCTTTGGAACCTGGTGTGAGATCTTGTGTGAGAGCTTGCACAATGTCTTGTGCTAAAGGAAACACGTGAGAAGACTGCTTTTTCTCTTTCTTGGTCAAGGGTTTCAAGGGGGTGTCAGCTTCCACTTGCAGAACAGAGTCCTTCCAAATCATGAACATGTTCCTGATGCAAACCAATAGAGTGAGAAATTAATTCATGTAACAGATTAGTTTTGCTAGTTTTTTTTTTACTTTTATTGAACTTATACCCCACCCCCTAGACAAAGTCTACTCGGGGCGGCTTACGTGAGTAATAAAACAGAATAAAATAACATACATAATAAAACCTAGTAACAAGTGTCTATATACATATACAGTGGTGCCTTGCATAGCGATCGCGCCGTTTTACGATGAAATCGCTTTGCGATGGACTTTTGCCATCGCAAGAGCGATCGCTTTGCGATGGCCCCTATGGGGAAAATTCACTTTGCGATGATCGCGGGGAGCGCTCCGCCACGATCAACGCAAAGGCCCCGCTGATCAGCTGTGCGAAAATGGGGCCTTTGGGATGATCGCGGGGGAGCATTTTAATGCGTTTCTATGGGCTTTTTAAAATCGCTTAGCGATGAAATCGCCTAGCAGCGATTTTTGCTGCACGGATTAACACCGCTAAGCGAGGCACCACTGTATACATTATCAAGATGGGATAGTTAAGAAACAGAAACAGAAAATCAGTTAATTGACTGGAGGGAAGGCCTGCCTAAAGAGCCGGGTTTTTAAATGGCTTTTAAAAACACCCAGTGAGGGAGCCAGACGGATTTCCGTTGGGAGGGTGTTCCATAACCGAGGGGCCACTGCCGAGAAGGCCTGGTTTCTTGTTCTTTCCTTCCAGGCCTCTCTTGGCGTAAGGCCCCTCAGCCATCCCTGCTGGCTTTGTCGAGTGATTTGGGAAGACAGTGGTTTTGTATTGACTTTGTTTAATGTTAATAATAATAATGGTGTGCTGTCAAGTCAATTCTGATTAACAGTGGACCTTTCCAGGGTTTTCTAAATAGAGAATACTTGGAAGTGATTTATCATTCCCTTTTTACGGGAATATCCTGGGACTGTGCAGCTTGCCCACGGCTACACAGACTGGCTCTTTCCCTTGGAAGCACATTGAGGAATCAAAGTCCCAACATCTGGCTCCACCGCCAGATACCTAAACCATGAGCTACGTATCCCGCCAGCTGTTTGTTTGGTGTTATTGTTCTATTATTTCATTCTGTTTGGTTGTTTTCATAGAAAAGTAGTATAGTTCACATTCCTTTATTTCAGATATAATAATCATGATTCTGCTTTATAGGTGTGCCAAAGCATTGGTAAGATTCGGTGCCCAAATTAACCTGCCAAGTGAAGAGGTCCAAGAAACACCTCTTCACATTGCAGCAAAGCATGGACTTTATGACCATGTGAATTTGTATTTGAGGTATGGTGCCTCTGTGGACAAGAAGAACAGTCTGGAAGAGACAGCACTTAGTGTAGCTTGCAGAGAAGCAAAAGATGTGGAAAGCCAAGAGAACTATTTGTCTGTGTGCAAACTACTACTTGTATATGGAGCAGATGTAAACACTGTGGATGAAGAAGTGAAGACCCCACTTCACAAGGCCTGCAAGAATGCTCACCACAGCTTGGTCCAGCTCCTTTTACAGATGAAAGCAGATGTCAATGCTATTGATTACAACGGGGCATATCCAATGTCGTGTGTCCTGCAGACTGCAGCTTTTAAGCAAGAGCTGAAGCCACATCTCACAGTGCAAACCTTGCTAAACCATGGTTCTCAAAAAATATGCCCTACAGCTTTTTTCAAGGTACTTCAATTCAGTGGCAGAGATTAACCACTGTGTTGATTAGCCATTGTGTTTTCATATTCCATATTGTAGTTTTATATTTTGCTGCCCCCAGCTTTGAAATTTCACATCTCTCTAAGAAGCAGAGCAAAGGGAGGTGTCTTCTCATGACGCTGTTGTATCAGCCATTCCTGGCCAAAGGAGTGAGTTTGAATATTGTAGGCTGAGTTGTGGGTCTGCCATTGTTTCTGCCAGCAGAGTGCTGATCAGAACAGAGCTGCACAAGCATCCTTACACACGTGGTTGCACTAATTCTTATATACTTTCTCCTTTCGCATGGGAAGCAGTGCATACTGTTAGGATATATGCAGAAGCATCCTTTAAGCATACCTGTTTAAAGGGAATCCTGGAACTGATATGGGACTGCAAACACCTAGTTTACCACCAATGTGCAAAACAATGGCCCAGGCAGTCAGCATTATGCTATTTGGTTGTGCAACTGATTTTTTAGTCCCCACTGCAACTGTTGCCCAACATGCCTACAGAACCCCTTTGTGAATACTGCTTCTGCTTTGGTCCAAATTTCCCTTCTGCTTGTGCAACTCTGAGTTACACAAATATAACTTTGGAAGAGAATTTCAGCAAATATCTGAAGTAAAAAAAATTCTCTTTGTTTAGAACCTTTCTGTGGAAATAAATTTCAGGAAGATAGTAAAAGATTGAATGTTGTATATACAGTATAACATGAAGGTGCTTTATGTCACTGGTTCTTAACCTTGGGTTACTCAGGAGTTTTGGACTGCAACTCCCAGAAGCCTTCACCACCAACTGTGCTGGCTGGGGTTTCTGGAAGTTGCAGTTCAAAAACATCCGAGTAACAAAGGTTAAGAACCACTGCTTTATGTCATTACTCAAATGCTGTACACATCCTCCTAGTTTATGAGAATATTTCAGTTCCATTCTGAAGAAGCAGAAGGTTGAAACACCAAAGATACACTAGCTGACTTTTTGTCCATTTCCAGAATGTGTATCCTCCTTTTTTTTAATCCTTCATGGAGTGATTGGTTCAAATGGACATTTTGCTGGACAATGACAGTCTTATACCTAAATTTTCAAAATAACAGGACTAAGCCTCCCAAGCCATGAATCCACCAGCTTCTCAGATCATACTAATCAGTGTTTTAGTCATTTGGAAACTTCTGAGCCAACTTAAAAAATTCCAGTTCAACCCTCTTGATTATAGCTGCCAACTTATATGGGCACTGTCAAGCAGCAACGTTTGCTCTGTTGACCATATCTTACTGAGATTCAGCACATGTGAAGTTATTCAGAATTTTGTACTAAGCAGGGGGTTGCTTATATTCTTTATCTCCAAATCCCAAACACTCCACAACTCAGATCAAATGGAGAGTAAGGTGAGCATAAATCTGTTTCACATGAAAGCCTGGGAGTCAGTGCCTTATTTTAAAGAAGTCTCCAGCAGCCCAGGGCTGGCCTGCAACAACACTACACCTAACCTCTTAGCTCTTTCTGTCCTCCATACATTCTACAGTAGGCGCACAGAGGGATAAGAGTGCCCGATGCAGATATACTGTATTAGCACGGATCTACTGTGATTCACCCAAGGTTTATATTTTAGGAATTGATCAAGAACACACACTGCTGTCTTGTTTCTGAAGCATTTGTTCTCCTCCCTGGCCATTTTTGACTTTAGTGTAATTTGGCCCTGCATCTGCAGACACATCACTAAACAGGCTTCCCATCTTCATTAGGATTTGAGACTAGGGTTGAAGCCAGTTGCATCGCCTTTTCAGCCAAGACAGCTCCTGGTGAGAATTAAAGGTGGTTAGTATCAGTGTGCAGAAAAGGGGAACTGATGAGCAAATTCATGCCATAGAAGAGAAGAAACATGGATTTACATTCCCAGCAATGTATAAAACACAGTTCATGGTATTTTGGTTTCAGCATCTGTACCACAGCTAACAGTCTCTACCTAATGAAGAATGGCAAAGAGCCTCCCCATTCCACATGCACTGCCCTTGTGTGAATATGAGAACTAGCCTCACAACACAGTTGTCCACACACACACACACCAAAAAATTCTTCATGTTCTGTTCTTGAAGTGGAGAAAACTCCCTCACAGGAACAGCAGGACTTAAGGGGAAATATCTTAACGGATATAAGTAATTTTGAAAATCTAATGCTCAGTGGTCCACAGAAACTTGAGCTGCATTACAGTGTCTGGTGCTATATAGAATATAACACAAGAAAATCTATTGTGATAGGTTGTGCAGCAAATTTGGTTGTGACACTCAGAGAGTTGTTTCTTTTTTCAGCTGTAGCTTATTACACAATTCTTAAACTTTTCTGATTAAATCTGTATATGTATGATAATGTTCTAACAAGCCTGTTTATAATTTTAGAGTTAAACGGATAGTTATCCTAATTGTTAGCAGAAACATTTGGTTTCAAACATTTTCTCCTTTTTCACCAAAAGATTTTTTTAAAAGAAAACATATTCCCAAAACTTCGCAGCCAAGTTTATTAAAATGTAAAAGTGATAAGGCTCACTAGTTTTGGCTTAAGCCAGAATCAAAATGAAGTTTCCAAAGAATTGCATATGGTTACCAGATATGTTGTCCTGATCAAACATGATTTCTTTTTTTTTCCTCACTAGGTGTTGAAATCTTGTGCCTCGGCTCCAGAAATCATTGAAATCCTTTATAATTCTTACCCTCATCTGCCCATGTCTGAAAAGTGGGTAGACGTTATTCCCAACGAAGTTTTCCAAGTAAGAAGTAAATGGCTTATAGAAAAGAATTCGCTGTATTTGACATTCTCAGCTAAAGTAATCTTTTCATATTTCCTGAGCTTCATCATGAGGGAAAAAAACACCTTGTCTGAATAATTCAGTCATTTGTACAGCTTACAGAGGTGATTCAACAAAGTAAAATGTGCACAAATATGTGCATATTTTTAAAAGCAAATAGCTAACATTCTAACAATATTTACTTTAGTCTATGGAGAAAGGTGGCAGTTAGATAAAATGTGCCCATAAATGCACACTTTAGAAAGAATACATTAAAATGTGCTTGAATTTCAGTGCAGGAAAAAAATGCAACAAGGTTTTGCCTGGTGCCAGATAGTTTATTATACTATCACCAGGCAAACATCTCAGGTAGGGGTGGGGAGGAGTTCCACTGGGTCTAAACCTTTCTCTTACAACCACACTTCCCCTCTGCCTACGGAAGTGTGCTCCCAAAATTTATCAGGAGGGATCCCAGATTAGATCAGATGGAAGAGGATCTACTGTGCTGACAGGTACTCACGTTTTGGGGGAAAGAGTGTTTTGGGGAAAAGAGTAACTTTTATTTGTTTATTTGCCTGTTTATTGATATTTTTGAACTACCATGAAACAGATCACTGATATCTTAGGCACCACAAGACAGATATCTCCTGATAAGGGCAACATCTGAATAGGTTGGGAGTATCAGATGAACTCTTAAGTATCTTGGTTTGCAACAAATTGAGTAATAGAAACCAATTAACTGGGAGGTCTAAAGCCACTTTGGTGTCTATGGTGAGGGATGGTGTCTCCCCACATTTCTGTACAAAAGCCAAACCAGCTGGTTGTTGTATCTTCTTTGAACACAGGGGAAAGCAAGTTTACAGCAAGTTGTCTAGCACACAGAGTTAATGTCTGTCAACAATTTTACATTGTTCCCAGGCCTGCTTCCAAAAGCATCACTTGGTCATCTTTGACACACACACCTTGCCCTGAGATTTAGTCATTTTGTGGAACTAGAGTTTCAAACCACTGCTGAGTGAGCCTTGTGGTACAATGATTAAACTGCAGTACTGCAGTGAAGACTCTGCTCACGACCTGAATTCTATCCTGGTTTCATGTAGCTGCCTCGAGGTTCAGGTAGCAGCCTTCCATTCTTCCAAGGCTGGTAAATTGAGTACCCAGCTTGCTGGGGAGCAATGGGTGGACTGCATAATTAAAATGTAAACCACTCACAGAGAGTGTTAAGCACTATGGGGTGCTATATAAGCAGCACACTTTTGCTTTGCTTTGCACAGCTCACAAATGTGATTCTTGTAGTCAGAAACTTTGTGCACTGCATTCTAAATACCCCAAACCCAAGATAATTTCTTCTAGCTGAACATTGTTTAGAACTTAGGTTATCAGAATCCTATGGGACTAAGAAAAAGCCAGAAAAGGCAAGAACGGGCACTTAATAAAAATTGATTCCAGAACTAGTAGGATATAAAGGGCACACATCAGAACAATATTTTAGACAACAAAGCCAGTAAATATTGCTCTTTCATTAGTCCTTTAATATATGAAAGCCAGCCAGAACAAAACAAAAGGGCCTGGAATGGCACTTTCTCTTTTTTTTAATACATTTTTTTACTAGGAATAGTGTAGGGAGTACAAAAGGTAAAAGAAAGTGGGAGGAGAGGGGAAAAATTGAGGATGGGAGAACACAGAATATACAATCATCCAAACTATTCATATTTCAATATCAAATTAACTTTCTGCTTTTTAAAAAAAAAAAACTAGTTGGTTACCCTCCAGCTATCAACCTACAATTATATTTTAGTTTAAACCTAAGTTACTCCAGCACTGAAAGGAAACCAAGACCATTTGTAAAATACATCCCATTGTTCAATTTCGGAATGGCACTTTCTGAGTACCATGAACCAACCAAATTCACAACACATACTGTATGTGACAAAGGAGACACAAATCATCCCCAGGAAAATCATTCCAGGCAGAAAATGAGTATTGTGCAAAACAGTGCAGAATGGCAACTTCTTGGTAGAGCAGCCCAAAGAAATTTGCCCAGTCCCTCTTTCTAGATGGGACTGATGCAACTTGATATGGAATGTCTCCAGTACCCTTTCTAGGCAGAAAACTGATCTTGTGCAAAATAGCCTAGAACAACAACTTCTAAGTAAGACAACTCAACAAAGTTCACTTATCCCATTATACTAGAGCAATGGTCCCCAACATGGAGTCCCCAGACGTTGTTGGACAAAAAGTAACAAAAGCCTTCACCACTAGCTATGCTGGCCAGGATTTCTGGGAGTTGTACAGTTCAAGAACATCCCAGGATCCAAGATTGGGAAGCAATGTACTGGAAGGAACCAATGCAACATGTGTCAAAATGCCCCCCGAAATAGTGTTCCAGTGTACAATTTCAGTATTGCACAAAAGAGTCCAGAACAGTCCAAGCAGGACAGTCCAGTGAAATGCAGGAAGGTCCAGAAGGACATTTCTCTGACACTGGAGTATCTAACCAAACATGGGTTCTTAATCAAACTCACCAACAGTCATCTTCCTCCTTCTTTAAAGCTGATCCCCCTAGGAGTCAGAATCAATACAGTACTTGGAAGACAATGATTTACTTGCCACCCAACAGAATTTCTACAATACTTGGATTGGATGACAAGTCCAAGTACCTACAATACAGGTACAGAAGAGGTCACTTCCTCTTATGTACCCGTCATGGGTATTTGGACTTGTCATCTCCACAGTTCCCATAGTGCCTTGAGCCAGATTTCATTCCCAGACATTTCAATATCTGCAGTGTCAGCCATATCATCCTGCAAATTCAGTTTGCCAGTCCTTCCAACCATTGCAAGAGAGGTAGTGTCTCCGATGGTGAACCTCCCAATATAGTCTCTCCAAAGGATCCCCCTTTGTAATCCAGAACAGACTTCTGTCCACTTCAGATGCAAAGCTAACAGGTTGGGGAGCTATTTGCTGGACCACCCTGTGCAGGGAGTGTCAGAAGCCATGCACCGCATCAAGTGGCCAGGGCTCAGGGCAGCCCAGCTTGCTCAAGGCCATTTCTCCTTCCTTCTCACATCCTCCTTTGTACAGACAATGCCACAAACAGGTGATACACTGTGAAGCAGGGCAACAATCCCATCTCAGGGAAGCAACCTTGTTGTTCAATTGTGCTCCCTCAACACTCAAGCCGAATTCTTCAATGAGAGACAACTTCTCCCTGGGCAATGGGGTCTTCATTGCAACATCTTTCTTCAGATAGATGCCATTGTCAGTCCCTTAGAAGCTGACATGTTTGTCTCTCTGACAAACAAGCTGATACACTTCTTCACCATACACCACTGTTTACAGTATATTGCTGTTTATAGAGGGCATCAAGACTCTGGAGTCCTCATGGCCTCCTGCTCTCCATTCTCTCTTTCTTGACAAGACTTCTCTGGAAAAAAAAAAGAGGAAGCTAGAGCAAGCACAAGCAGTCCTAGTGGCTCAATTTTGATCAAGGAGGCAGTAGTTCTCAGATATTCAGAAATTAGCCACATCTCTTCATCGACCCACCCCCATTCCTACCATCATGACAGGATGATGCAAGGTCCCTTCTGTCACCAGGACCCAGCCCATCTCCATTTAACCACCTAGAGGCTGAACAGAGTGCCTTAAAAATGATGGGGCACTACAACAAGGTCATCTGTGCCTCCTAACTTCCAGATATGTGTCAGTCATCAGAATATATAACGCTACCTGAAAGGTGTTCACTAGATGGTTGAAGGTGAGGAATATTGATTTTCTTTCTGTGTCCTGACACATCTTACTACCTTTCCTTCAGGATGAGCCCTGATAAAGGACTCTGGCCTATCGCTCTTAAGTGGCAAGTAGTTACTCCCTCATCACTTCTCTCCAGGCCAAGAGTGTTGCTAATGCCTGCACATCCTTCCACACCTTAAGCAGTGGCTCAGGTCAGCTTCCCAGCTGCTCTTTCCCCTGCTTCATTGTTTTCCAACCTGGAACCTCAATGCGGTGCTCAATGCTTTCACAAGGCCTCTCTCCAAGCCTCCAAAGATCATTCCCTTCTGTCTTCTCTCCTATAAAATGGCTTTGCTGTTGGGCTTATTCATCCAAAAATACCTCTGCATATTTTGAAAGAAACAAGTTACAGTTCAGCTTGATCCCTCCTCCGAGCTTCATTCTTGTTCCATGCTTCTCATCTTGTTGTTATTGTGTGCCATCAGGTTTGCCTCTGACTGACGGAGACCTTATGAATGAGCGATCTCCAAAATATCATGTCCTCAGCTGCCCTGCTCAGCTCTGGCAAACTCAAGCCTGTAGTTCCTTAAGGGAGTCAGCCCATCTCATAGGTGGTCTTCCTCTTTTCCTGCTGCTGTCGATGTTTCCTAGCATTATCTGCCTTTCCCAGAGAATCCTGTCTTCTCTTGATGTGCCCAAAGTAGGGCAGCCTCAGTAACTGCCCTAACACCATATTTGGGCAGTACATCCTGAATGACTGTTGCAGGTGTTTACATTTTAAATATTTCACTCAATACAACAGAATATTTTATGAGTCCATACCCATTATTGTTACCACTCTAAATTAGGATTTTTAAATTATTTGTTATGAGGCTAAAGCCTTATGAAATAAACATCACTTTTGTTTTTCTTTTCTGCTGGATTATCAAGAAGCAAACTACTTAAAATACTGTTCATTTTATTTTCCTCTCACACTGTTCTGTAAAAGCTCCTCCTTTTTTACGATAGATCGACATTCTCAATACAGACTTCCACATCTGTTTCCTTGTTAATTCACATTTTATAGGCAAACGTAACTTAAGTGGCAAAATAAATGGCACTCCATTTTCCCCCTTTGTTCTATCCTGTTCACATAACATAACCATTATTGTTTACTTTTTCATGAAACTCAGTGAACTTGCTTCTGCCATTTTATCTTATTAGTTCTTTGTGTGCTGAAAATAAAATGGCCATGTTTTGGTTTTGTTCCCAGCTGTAGTTTTTCAGTAATATTCTAATAATAATAATGTTCTAACTTTTAAGGTACCTTTCTGAGGCATGTTTTTAAAGGATTTTTCAAAGTTTTAGGGCAACACGTTTACACTTCATTCAAATTATATATTTTTTCCTATCACATATTACTATTAAAAATCCAATATTGGACTCAGCGGCCTTATAGGCCCCTTCCAATTATTGAACCAGCATGTTCAGTATGAAGACCTAAATTGGTTGTTCACTTGTTCTTAAGCAATCAATCAACAGCTCTTTCCTTCCCACCACTAGAGGTTTTAATAGTCTTTACTCTGAGGCAGTTTCCCCCACAGTTAGTACCAGTTTAACAGATGTGATGTAAAACACCCAGTTTTACATCACTGAGTTTTCTTCTCAGTCATAATTTTAACAGACTAAGTGATCTTTTTAATACCTTTGTGTCAAATTTTTGAGCACATAATTTTGTGATTAAATGTTGTTGCTTCTTTTTAATATCATCATTTTTGCTGGTCTACTTATATAAAGAGAATTCTTGGGGAACTTGCTTATAACTCTAAGGCTACAGCTGCCCTGCTTTTTGCTGTGCAACTGCACAAAATGTAACGCCAACTCCATCATTCTGTGGTTCTATGATTTATTTGATTCACATCTTTATCTCAATGCTGTGTCCCAAGGATATTACCTAGTTACAACCATTATGTAATACAGAAAACAGTAGTGTCTCCACTTTAATTAGAGTAATAATGTATTATTGTGATATTTACATATATCAGTTTACATTAGCACATGCAAATGTAATGCAAAAATGTCCCCTTTTTGTGAAGAATATCTTCCTTTTTTAGATTCCTTGTCCTCCATCCCCTTTATCCTTATTGAGCAGCGGCTACCCTACAGTCGCCTCTCTGCAATATTTGCATGCCTTCAACTGTAACAATCTCCAATATATGTTTCTAGCCTAAAGCAGGTTTGGGAAACTGTTGCTCCTCTAGATGTTTTAGACAGAAACTCTCACAAAATTTGCAGTTGGACAGACAAGTCTGGGTCTGGGAAGAGTTGCAAACCAAACCATCAGGGGAGTCAAGAGGTCCTCAGGCTAACCTTCAGTGCAACAGGAGCTGTAGTCTGCCTCCTATAATTACTTTATTAGAGTGGAAATCTTATTTAAAAAAAAAATAGAAAGAAAAGAAAAGAAAAAAAAGAAAGGAGTGTACCCATACCCCCAGTTTCTACATGCAATACGGCTTTTTTTTAACCCTCCTGTGAAATTTATGCAGAGGGACATGGCCTTCAGTGAGAAATACCTAGACAGTTGCAGGCTAGTAGCAGAAGTAACATGTGACTACTTTTATTTTTTTTTTCCCAATATTTCCCTAAGATATGCCTTAGAGTTCTAGTTAAATTTCTTCTCAAATTTCTAGACTTCAAAACTGGGCTTTCTTTTTCCTTCCAGAGGCATCTTGCTTTCTACAAGGCCTTTGCCAGTCAGATGCACTCCGTCCGGCAGTTGCAACATCTGTCTCGCTGTACTATCAGGAGTCAGTTTGGCAGGAGGTGCCATCATCTCATCCCCTTACTCCCTGTGCCTAAAGCACTGCAAAACTATCTGCTGCTAAAGCCTGAGGGCAATCTGCTCTGAAGACCCCACACCAATCATCACATCACAACTTTATGTTGTGAGACCCCACTAGCACTCGATATCTTACCCACAAATAAAGGGTTTATCATTGTGCTTCCAGGGGTTTCATTCTGAGAGGACTCTACAATGTGTTGAAACTTTTCATTGTTCCAGCATTTCTCTAAAATATGCCTTACAAATCTACTCCAATATAGTACGTATATTTAAAGGACTGTCTGCTGTCACATCAACTGGCCAGCTATGAAGATCAGATCCCCAGCTCCTCTTGGCACCTGTAGGCTGACAGATTATCACTGACCTGATTTTTTCTGATACTGCGTCCCACCCTCAGAACTCCCTTTCCAGAGGGCCTTCCCTCTTTATTCTCTTTTTGGCACAATGTCACATTCTTTTTATTGTTTAGGTATTTTATCTCTTAGTCTTGTTGATTTCTAAGCTAGCTTTTAACTGTGGGTACTGATGTGTTTAGCAGCATAGCTAAACTTTTTTTTTTCAAATATTGCATGTGTTTCTGAGTGTAATGTTGTTTATTCCTCCCCCATTTTATTTTATTGTTAATTGCCTTAAACACAAGTTGTAGAAGAAAAGAGGCCGTAAATGCACTAATAAAATACATAGAGCTGCCTTCGAATAGTATTTTGAATTCCATTTCAGTTCAAAAGGAATCAGCTTGACAAACTATCTGGTACAAAGTACGGAGAGCATATTACTCCAGTATAGTTTTAGCACTGTTTTCTCACTTGAGGTCTAGATAAGGTTCCCATGCTACACAGCTGTTTGGGTTTTATCCAGCTTATAGGCCTGCAACCTGGTGCCCGTTGAGACCATGGCTTGTGTCCAAAACTGTCATGTCATGTCATTGCAAGGTATGAGGCAAAACATGGAAGTGCTCTTTTGGCCAATTGTTTTGCAAGAAATGAGCCTTTCAGTGTGATTAACTAATGCATGAAGCCATCAACAGTTTGGCAGGATCTTATAAAGCTATAAATGAAAGTGTTGTCCTCCCCCAATTAATGTGTAAATACTGCTGTTTTGTAAAGCATGTGCCCAGGTGATTTCCAGATGACTGAAATCTGTTTTGCCTGCAAACAGAGCTAAAGAAGCACTGAAGCCATAAGAGGAAGGGGGGAGAGATGCAATAAAACTAAATACCCATACAAAGCAAGGTAAAGCTGCTATTACTTCAATAAAAGTTCAGTATTTAAGGTGCCATGGACTCTGTTGTTTCTGCTGCAATAGAATTAACACAGCAGTATTAGGCAAAGATTATGTTTTTGAACTAAAACTCTCATGCCGGCTTGGGGATTTTGGGAGTCTGGAATTTTTCCAAGCTCTCATATTACACATTTTAATAGGCTTCAAGGAAGAAGATCTGTTTTAATCATCCATTATCACTTCTCAGCCTTTTGGCTAAGAACAAGTGTAGTACCATCCACAGGTTTCCAGGAACTTAGCTGGGAATTTAATAAGGTGCCATCCTGAAGAAAGGAAGAGTTGGGGGGGAAATAGGAGGAGGAGGAGGTTTAAATGATTCTGCTAATATTATTGTTCACTTTAGTGTCATTTTAAGCTTATTGAGTTCATATTTGCTGTCAGTCATAGATTTCTGGAATGAGGTTTCAAACAATGGTCAAGAAATGGTAATGGGAAAATGGGAAAAAGAATTCTGCTCTTACCTGTACTTGTCTTGGCAATATGGTGTGCCCTTTTGAACTGAATTAGTGCTTGCTTTGAAATATAAGGCTACATTGAATGTTAATACCGTATAAGTTAATGCAAACTCAATGAACCAATGAAACTTACCTAAGTGTTCATTTACCAGTTTCCAGTAGATTCAATACTCTTCTCTGGTTTGAATTAACAACTGGATTTAGGCACACATAAAGATGGGAGAATGTGTGAAGGTATGTATATGTATCTTTTATACAGTACGTGGGTGTCTGTTGAGGGGGCAAGGGGGGAGTGCTCCCTCTCACAGAATCCTAAACTTGGTATTTCCTTAAATGCAGGTAAAAACTACAGTCAGATAAACAATCCATAGAGTTCATTGACCTCACTCTAACTATTTCTGTGGATGTTCCTGGTCTTCCATTTTTAAAGAAGTCAAAGTATTCACCTGGTAGCCATATTAGTCTATTGCAGTGAAAATACCAAATCATCTTGTGCCATCTTAAAGACTGACAAATCTTATTTGGCAACTTAATCAGAGTGCTGCTTAAGTATACAGATTGTTCTACTTATGTTTGGGGGGGAGAGTATAATTAGTGGGGTGAGGAAGCAGATATAAAAGAAGTACAAATTTGTTCATTAATTGTGGTAAGTTGCAAACAACAATCGGGAACTAACACTTGAGCAACACATGTATTATGATGAAAGGTCGAATTTGACAAATACAGTCAAGCTGGATAATTTCCCAGTTTTAATAAATTATCTAATCAACAAAGGAAATATCAGCTTGTGTTTTTCACTAAAGTTCATGATCACATCTTACTGCATTTCCCCCATAAATCAGATGACAATTTGTAATGAATTCCTATGATACTTCTAATGATCATGGTGGAGGATATCATCAATAAAAAGTGACAGCAAAAAAATTACAGCCATCCAATGATAGTATCACTAGAAGCCCATGTAGTACATGGCAAAATATATTTATTTGCACCAGCAACATATAACAATGTGAAAAAGAAATTACACCCTCTTTGAATTCTATGGTTTTACGTATCAGGACATAATAAAAATCATCTGGTACATAGCAGGTCTGAAAATTAAGTAAATACGACCTCAGATGAACAATAACACATGACATATTACAACATGTTATGATTTATTTTACAAAAATGAAGCCAAAATGGAGAAGTGATGTGTGAAAAACTAAGAACACCCTTACTGCTTCCATAGAAATTAAGAGGCTAAGTAACAGCCAGGTGCTGCTTACTAAATGCCCTTGAATAATTGATCATCAGCAAGTGTGACTACCTCTATAAAAGCCAAAGTTTTAGCAGTTTGCTGCTCTCAAACATTCAGGTGTGTGTTAACACAATGCCAAAGAGGAAACACATCATCAATGATTGTAGAGAAGCAATTGTTGTTCCCCATCAATCTGAGAAGGGTTATAATTTCCAAACAATTCAAAGTCTATCATTATACAGTGAGGAAGATTATTCACAAGTAGAAAACATTCAAGATAGTTGCCAGTTTTCCCAGGAGTTGACATCCAAGCAAGTTCACCTGAAGGTTAGACCATGCAATGCTCAGGGAAATTGCCAGAAACCCAATAGTTACATCTCAGACTCTACAGGCCTCAATTAGCATGTGAAATGTTAATGATCATGACAGTACAATTAGAAAAAGAATGAACAAGTATGGTTTGTTTGGAAGGGTTGCCAGGAGAAAACATCTTCTCTCTAAAAAGAACATGGCAGATGGCTTAGATTTTCAAAGTTGCACCGGACAAATCACAAGACTTCTGGAACAATGCCCTTTAGACAGGCAAAGATCAAAGTGGAGATGTTTTTTCCTTGTGTTTTATATTGTAGCAATGTTAATTTTAAAAAAAGAGAGTACTGTCATCTTTAGTTTGCCATACAGAATTCCAATATAGTGCACAGTACAAATTCTGTTTCATCCAGTAAAATAACATTCAACAGATAGTATTAGCAAAGAAACTATCTTTAAAGTTATTTCTAGTAGAATATTTTTGGAAAACAATAGTTCTCTCTTTCTAGGGGGAAAAAAGCCTGACCACCCATACAAAAAATCAGTATCACACATGTCCATTTTCATTACCAACAGTGCAATTACACATACCCCCACTTCTTAGGTCTTACTGATTTCAGTGCATCATATTCCTAGATACTTATGTACACTTAGAGCAGAGATGGTCTAATCCAGCTTCTAAGTGCTCCTGGTTAAACCACACACAACCCACTGCCAAGCCCTTCCTCCAGATGCCACTGGGAAGATAAAGCCCTGTTATTCGGAAATCATAGTTAGGCAATAAGTCGTATCATTTCTAATGCACCCCACTGAGTCCATGACCTGTGGATACCACTCTATTTTCTCCCCATCTCCTCCTGTGTTTTAGCTGGCTATTAAAGAAAACCTGTCGTGTACAACTGAGGAAACCTATTGATACTGAAACCTAACATGTTCTGCCTCTTAGCAAGACATGAAATCCTACTCTATAACTTAGCTATACCTATATATTCTATATACATCCAGTGTGATGTAGTGCAGTGGTTCTTCACCTTGGGTTACTGAGGTGTTTTTGGACTGCAACTCCCAGAAGCCTTCACCACCAGCTGTGCTGGTTGGGGTTTCTGGGAGTTGCAGTTAAAAATACCTGACTAACCCAAGTTTAAGAACCACTGATGTAGTGGATAGAGTGATGGATTGAATCCAAGCTCAGGTTTGGAAACCCACTGGGGAAATGGAACTGGTAAATCAACTCCTTAAATATTTCACTTATTTGAAAGCCCTATTAGGGTTGCTATAAGTTGGTTCTGACATGATGGCACAGAACATGTATTGTGATACAACTAAATAATGCAAAATCTCACATAAACAAGAGGGCACCATTACAGATCTCAAGCAGATTTCTCAGGAGAGCCTGTGTTCTAATCAGAGCATAATGGCAATTGGTTGTTTTCTCAAATGAGTTGTTTTAGTTTTGCCTGAATTGTTATTACAAAAACATTCTGCAGAATTTCACCATCATAATTGTGTTGATTATAAACTGTTTTTATGACACTATACAGATAGTATCATAAATAAGTATGGCAACAAAGTAGCATAGTGGTTCATCCATGTTCTCTTCTTATAGATGTTTTTGCATGATACAAATTATGTAAGTAGTCGTAATATCCTTTTGACAGGGTTTGGTTAAACCTGAAATTGTTAAATGCAGTTTGTACCAGCAGTAAGTATTTGTAAGAACCAGAGCTAGAGAGAAGCTAAGCAGAAAGCATGAACAGCTGAGTAAGAATTTACCAGAACATACCATGATTGGTATATAACTGGGAGACCTAGAATACAACAGTGTGGGTTGCTGTTGGGTTGTTGCTGTGTCGTTGTGAAGTGCTGTAGCTGTGGAGCCAAGCCTGAGCGTTCAGAGGAAGCCGTACCTACGTGCTTGGAGAGTGGAACTCTGGCAGAACGGACTGATATATGGTATATGACTATTTACTGGACTGTGACACTGATTTAAGGCTCTGTGACTGTGAAACTGCCGTGTATAAAACAAGGACTGAAGCTGTAAATATTCTGCATATAAACCAAGTATTTCTGCTACAAGAGTGTTTGCTGCCTGTGTCTGCACTTCACTGGGAACTCTGCCGGTTATCACCACCTGGGAAAAAGCCTGGTAAAATTCCGCTAACTCTGTCAACTTTTCTATTTATGGCAGTAATTAATTAACAAGGAATAAATCAACATTAAAGGGATAAATAAATCAACCTTTAAGATGACTCTATGTGCGGACATTCATTCACAGGCATCATAGTTAAGCATATGCCATGTATATAGTATATCACAGAAGTGAGTACACTCCCTCACATTTCATAAATATTTCAGTATATCTTTTTATGTGACAACACTTAGGAAATGACACTTGACTACAATGTAAAGCAGTGAGTATACAGCCTGTATAACGGTGTAAATGTGCTGTCCCCTCAAAATAATGCAACACAGCCATTAATGTCTAAACTGCTGGCTACAAAAGTGAGTACACCCCTAAGTGACAATGTCCAAATTGGGCCCAAGTAGCTGTTTTCCCTCCCTGGTGTCATGAGACATGTTAGTGTCACAAGTCTCAGGTGTGAAGGGGGAGCAGGTTTTATCACTCTCACTCTCTCAGACTGGTCACTGGAAG